AACTTTGGCAAGGAAAGTTCTTATTGTAGCACGTGCAAAAGCTCAAAATGTTCGCTGCGTGAGCGTTCGAGATACCAGTTGCAGGCATTGGAACATTCGAGAAATGTTCTATTTGCAATTGTAGAAAATGGTAAGAAACGCGACATGTAAACATACTGTCTATTGCTGCACAAAGTACAAGACTCTTGCACTATTAAGTTCAACGATAAACGATGAACCCAATGATGAAACACGATGATTTTGATACTATGAGGTCACAAATTCCATTAAGGAAAATAAGCACAAAGATATCTAACGAAATGTAATGGTTATATTCTCATTTAACGCGAACAAGAGCAAACTTATGATACATTTGTATGAGGAGAAGACTGAAGTAAATTGAGATAATTAAATTCTCTGAACAGAGATCGAAACAAGTTAACCTCATGCAGGCACATTCAATGTCAAACTCATTTCATCAATCAAACCTGTTTTCCACATTAGTTCATTGCGGTAAAAGTTGGCACAGGGTAATATTTAATTCATTTCTGCCAGTCTTGAAGTCTTCTCCAGTATTATGATTTTGGTAATCAAATCACACAGCTATGAAGGTAATGAAAAAAGAAAGGTGGGATTTACTAAATGCGTTAACTAAAATTCCTCATTCGCTGAAGAAGTTGAACTAGGAGATGTTGCCTCCATTCACTGCCATAGAAAGTTCGGAACACCATTTTTAAAGCAGCCGGAGAAAGATTGTTCAGATGCAAGTGCATCTACAGGATGTATCAAAAAATGTACTCGTTGAAAGCTTTCCTAGAACAAGCCGAATAGGAAAGGCTTAAGTTTAGGTTTGCATTGAAATGTGTCTTGCACTTCCTTCTATAAACGTCGGATTACGGTACAGGTTATAGGTCTTGGGACTGGCGTAAAGCAACAACAACATCGATGCAAAGGTATTAGGTTGTCGGATAAGTTTGATTTTTTCACTAAAAATTTCTTAAAAACCGGGAGTCCTGGCAAATCGTCTAAAAAAGAAGCTTCTCTCTACAAAAAGCCATCAAGCAGTTCTGGTTGTGTTTAATTGTAAGTGATTGG